AGTGGGGCCTGGGGACCGCAGCGCCTGGGGGGCAGGGGTCAGAGGCAGCTCAGCCCCTTGTCATCCTCACCCCTCCCAACCCCCAGCCCCCCCAAGTGCACAGCCCCTGCCCCCCTCCCCCATCAGCCTCAGGCCCAGCTCCCCGCAGCACGCACCCCCTGCCCCACTCCATGAGCTGGGGCCTAGCTCCTGCCAGCATGCAGCCCCTGCCTGCCCCCCATCAGCCTGGGCCCCAGCTGCCCCCAGAGCATAGCCCCTGTGCCCTGCTTCGCCCACAGCACCTGCTCTCAGGGAGGGGGACCAGCTGCTCTGGCCTGCTCAAATAGGGGTCCAGGGGCAAGAGGGGGAAGCAGGGCCAAGTGGAGGGGGGAGGTGACACTCCTAGGGTCAAGGGGGGGGACCAGGGCAGGGCACACACCTGTGGCTGTGGCTCCGCTGCTTGTGGACGTAGACAAGGAAGGCGAGGGCAGTGACGGCAAACAGCACCCCGAACAGCACGGCCAGCACGTCCCCTGCGGCAACAGCCAACCCGGGGGTGAGGACAGACGGACACAGCGATCACGGGGGCAGCCCCCGGGGTGCAGGGGGGAGCTGCCTGCAGAGGGGGTGGGCACGGCCGGGTGGGAGGGGAGGGGATCTCAAGAACAGGGAAGAGAGGCTGCAGGAGGCTGGGACTGGAGCTAGGGCTGGGAAGGAAGGGAGGGGGCCGTGGGGCAGGCTGGGCACGGCTGGGGGGGGCTGCCTGAAACGAGGAGCCCAGGTGCGGTTCGGGCCCTGGCCAGGGAAGGCAAGAGGGAGCGTGAGCTGTGCTGTGGCAAGTCCACCCCGTCATCCTCCCTCATCCCACAGCTTTGTACCCAGCACCCTCCCCACCCCCCAGGCCTGCCCCTGTGAGCGTCTTACCTGTACCCTCTGGGCTGCTGCCACCTGCAAGAGGCACAGGCTGTGAGGAGGAGCCTGGGGCTGTGCATGGGGGCGGGGGCATCACTGCCATAATGGGCTGGTCACAAGCCACCCCCAGCAAGGCCACCACTGCTGAACACACTTGGCTGCAACCCCCAGCCCCGCTCCGCCCCTGGCTCTGGAGCCAGCTCCAGACCTGACGACCCTAGCTGCCCCCTCCCCGGGCACTGCACCGACAGGTCCCCGGCTGCCAGCCCCTGCCTTGGCCAAGTCCACCCCTGCTACCTGCCAGAGCCAGGGACCACTGGACACCATGCCTCAGCTGCAGCCAGGACACAGACCCAGAGCCCAGTCCAGCAGAGCGCCCGGGGGGACCCGAGCACACGGCCTGCCTGCACACAGAGCCGGCACCAAGAGGGGAGAGGGCATAGGTAGGGCAAGTGGTACCTGGTCCAAGGCCTCGGCCAGCACCGGCCCTTGCGTGGCCATCAGGGACAGGGGTCATGGCAGCTTCCCCATCATCTGCAGGCAGAGGGGAGGGCTCAGGCACCCGCCACAGCGCCCAGGGACCCCCATACACCCCTGAATCAGGAACAGCCAAGCTCCCCCCTCCGGGGAACACAAGGAGGGTGGGGGCAAGAAACCAGCACAACCACAGGGCCGGGGCCAGGGCCAAAAGCAGCAGGAGGTGGGTGGAGGATGGAAAAGCTACCAGCAAACCCAAGCCCTGCCTGCCTACCCCCCCCCAAAAACACTGGCGTCTGGTGGGGGTGAGGGGGCGGGGGGGAAGGGAGAGGCCACCACAGCACAGAGCATCCGGCCAGGCAGGGCCTGGGTCGCGCTGACCCGGGCAGGCAGCCGCACCACAGCCTTGCCAGGCAGAGCCCACACAGCCCAGCAAGCCCCGGAGCCAGGCGGACAGACACCAGGACCTGGCAGCATGCACTGCCTGCAGAGCGGTACCTGGTTCGGGTGCTCCGCTGGTGCCTGCCCCTGTGGCGTTGTCAGAGGCGGGGGGCACGGGGGACCCCCCACCTGCTGCAGGGAGAGTGCAAGGCTCAGGCACCCACCGGCGGCTCCCAGATGTCCAATACCACCCCACCCCCCGGGAGCTTCCCTAGAGCCCCCTGCGCCCCTGAGCATCCTGTGCTTGGCTGGGCCCATCGCCCCATGGCCAGGGGTTTCCACACCTGCCTCCGGTCTACCGCCTCCCTCCCCTCTCCTGTGCCCCAGCTCCCCCTCTAGGCTGTGCCCCATGTGCTGCTGGGAGGACGGAGCAAGGTGAGCATGTGCTGGCACGAGGCCACAGCACGTACACACAGGTGCGCGGCCTGCAGGTGCAGCCCAGAGGAAGAGCTCTGGGCCCGCAGCAGCCCTGGTGCAGCTGCAAGGGCTGCACTTCCCCCAGCTTCTGCAGCAAGTGCAGTGCTGGGAGCCTCCTGCAGCCGCCCCTTGCTGGCACCCAGCATAGGTGGTACAGGGGCAGGCAAGTGCTGGCAGGACAGTGCCAGCCCTGGGATATAGACAGCCACAGGAGCTGCGTCCTCCCAAGAACTGCCTGACGCACGTGGGACTCGGGAAACCGGTTGGAGCAGGTCCCAGATCTCACAAAAACAAAAGCACGCGGCCAACTCCAGCTCTGCTGGGGCAGAGTGCCTGAGCTGCAGTGAGCGCTAGGGCAGCTGTGGGGCAGGAAGACAGCAGGAGCCCAGAGGCTGGGCCATGGCCCCTGCTGAGCTGGTGGTCCCATGCAGCCCCATGTGCACTCCCCAGCTCGTCTGAGCATGGGCGACCTGTAACCCATGCCACGGTCACCCCAGGCCCTGGCCTCGTTGTAAGGGAGCCCTGGGTCGCATACGACATGGCCGTGACAAGGGCACTGTGCTCCCCGCAGCTGGGGGTGGGGGGGCAGTACTGCTACCCATCATGCTGCCAGCAGCACCCCAGCTGCGCTCCCCTCCCAGCCCGGGCACCAGTCCCTGCAGCTCCCAGCAGGTTGCAGTTAACCCTGAACTTCCTGCTGCTCCTGGCACCACCCTGCCCTAGCCCATGATTCACAGGCCCAGCTCCATCTCTGGGGCCGACACCTCCATCCTGCCCTGCCTGTGCCAGGCTCCAGCCACGTTCAAGCTGTCTGCTTCCACGATAGGGGTCAGTCACCCAAGCCCAGCCTCTACACGCTGGGAGCAGGTGCAGCCCCTGGCTCTGCAGGCAAATATTTGTCCAGGTGGTATCACCACTGGCGCTGGAGCACTATCAGCATCGTGCACCGGCCGTGTCAGGCGCGGGTGCCGGGGCCGTGGGCACAGCACAAAGAACTTCGGGTCTTGGCCCACTGCTGGGACCTGGCCCCATTGATGCAGTGACCTGGGAGCAAAACAAGGCGGCTGTGACTCAGGAAGGGTCAATAAAGGAGCCTGCATGAGCTCTTTCATTCCCTGCAGGGCTGGGAGCATTCCTGGGAGGGATGGAGGAGGGGACACCCCGGTAGGGCAGGGTCAAGGCTTGCAGCAATGCACAGTGTTGTGGCATGACTCTGGACACAGGGTGGAGCAGGCAGGGGAGTGTGGGCATGAGCATCACCACTGAGGTGGGAGCAACTCTAGACGCCCCGTGCTCCAGGCTGGGGGAGCCAGCAGCTTTGGCAATAGGGCAGCTCTGTGAGCTACTTGAGATGAGGGACAGTGCAACCGAGACAAGAGCAGTGAGCTGGCCTGGGAACAGGAGCAGGCAAAGCCTTATAGCAAGGGAACAGCAGTGAAACTGGGGGAAAAGGGCCTCGTTTTTAAGGGTGAGTGCACCACCGATCAGCTCTGGGAGCCGATGCGTGCCTCCGCCTGCCCCCACATCCGGCCTTCGGGCAAGCACTGGGGTCCTGGGCCCAGAGGCAGCCCCAGGACACAGCTCGGGGTTTGCCAAGCACCTTGGCTCAGACTCTCCCTAGCCCTTTCTGGTGTCCCAGCCGCAGGCCAGAGCAAGACAGGCCCAGAGTTGGGACTGCTGCTCCCTTCAGCGGCCATGCACCTCGCCCTGCCACGGGGAGATGCCGGTGCCGCCACGCCTCAGATGCCACGTGGTGCTGACCTGCTCCTCCGGCAGTACTTCCCTGGAAGGCACCAGGGAAACAACTCCCTCAGGCCAGGCCAGGCACTCTGGTTGTCATCTATCGATACGAAACCCGATACGTTTATGTCCTTTTTCTCTTCAAGAGAAAAATAGAGGACACAAAGGCATCGGGTTTCATATCAATAGAGGACAGAGTAGCAGAAAACCAGAATGTCCTCTACGATGGCCACCCACCCAGGCTCCTTACCTGGCACAGAAGGCACCCCTGGGCCACGGGCCACCAAGAAGCTTGCCAGCACCCTCCGGCCGTGCATGGCCTGGGGTAGCCGGAAGTTGTTCTGCAGGAGCTTGTTGTGGTCTCCATACAGCGTCTCCTCCAGCTTCAAGATCTGTGGGGAGACGGGCATGAGCAGGGCCCAGCTGCAGGAGCCCGGGGCCACAGGCAGGGCCAGGACTTCCCTGACCACCCCCGTGAGTGCCCACAGTAGAGTAGGTGCCCCCCACCCCTGACCGACCTGGTCCAGAGACAGGCGCACGGTCTGGTTGAAGACGGTCCACATCACAGTCTGGTAGCAGGGCGGGGTGGTCAGGGAGCCGTTGTACCGGAAGTAGCGGCTGAGGTTGGCAGGGAGCAGCCCAGCAATGTTGAACCCAGCCACAAGTGTGTCGTCATCTGGAAGAGAGCAGCAGTCGGCAACCAGAGCCACAGCGCCTGCACCCACCCACGGGCCATGTGGCTGGGCTGCACCTCCCCACTGACGGGGCCACCACAGCACGATCGGGAACAGCAAGAGTCAGATCTATGCCTGTAGCACGGTCTAGACCTAGACCCACAGCATCACTGAGAACAGCATGATCCAAGTTGTGCAGGGAAATCTCAATCAAGAACAGCTTGACTCAGAACCTGACCAAGAACTAAGCATGGAGAACAGCTCAATCAGACGTGTAGCATGATTTAGAACGGTGCAAGCCAGGTCCGGATCCCCAGCATGATCTAGAACATCACAGTCCCCTGCCCACCGTATCCGAGCTAGGACGTGCCCAGAGCCTGCCCTGCCATCGGCCCTGCTGCATCAGTGCCTCTAGCACTTCCGGGACTGCCTGGGCCCCTGGGCCCGGAGCTCAGGAGGGGGCACTGGAGCCGGAGCGGGTTTGGCACTCAGAGCTCCTGAGGCAAGTGGTGCACACGGGTGCTGAGCCCGCAGCCTGAGTGCAGCTGGCCACGCAGAGCCTGTTGGCACAGCCTCCTGCCATGTGCCATGTCCCCACACAGGTGCAGCTCCCAGCCCATGGGCATAGGGGGCAGGAGGGGCAGTACCTTCCTCAGAGACCTCTTCCAGGTGCTCAAGCACATGCTCATAGGATGGGTTTTTCTCCGGCCCAACCTACAACACAGAGACCTGGGGTGAGCAACAGGGTTCAGGCCACCCAGAAGTTACCCTGCCCCTGGCAGAGCCTAGCCATAGATGGCGAGGGGCCAGGGGACAGAAGGGGCCCCCCCAGCACTACCCCCTACAACTGGTGATTGAGGCAGGGCCGGGAAGGGGCTGCCCCTGCCCCTGCCCCTGCCCTTCCTCACAAGACGTGCCTGTGCCTAGCCCAGGCCCAGTCCAGGATTGGGCCCCTAGGCCTCACCTGCAGAAGTGCGGCAAGCACGGCCAGGCCGTCAGGCTGGGTCATGGCTTTCTTGATGCTGTCGTACCGGGTGTTGTAATGCACCACGTGGATCTGAAACCAAAGCAGAGGCCCTGAGCTCTGCCCGTGGGCAGGGGGAGGAGCAGCGGGGCAGGTACTGGTACTGGTACTGGCACTGACATGGGGCCCTTCCACCCACAGTGCCCAAAAGCTCTGCTGCTGCTGGGCCCCCACAGCCACCGGGCCAAGCCCAGTGCCAGGGTCCCACCACGGGCTATGCACAGCATCTCCCCAGGCTCCCTCTGGCTGCACCCGCCGCATGCTCCCCCCCGCAGCCAGGACGAGGTGCAGCCCTTCCTCCCCTGCCCCGGGCACCACAGCCAGCACGAGGCAAGGGGCTGCACCAGGTCACGGGCTCGGGATGAGCCACAGCAGGATCAAGCCACCCAGAACCAGACTGGGGAGCGCAGAGTGTCTGTGTACAGGACAAACAGCCCCCAGCAGCGCTGTGGCCAGGCTGCCAAGCACACAGGAACAGGCACTGGGAGCTGTCCCAGCTGCCCTCCCTGGCCCAGAGACCTTCCAGGAGCTGCCCCCCCCAGTCACCCCACAGTGCCAGGGAACAGGAGCAGCCGCCTGTCCACGAGCAGGGCCCTGCCTCCTCCGGCTCCCCTGTGCTGTGCAGCCTGGCGGAGGAGCAGGGGTGGACTCTCACCTCTGCATGAGGAGGAGGGGGTGGTGCCCCCTCAGCAGCAGGGCAGCAGTGACTGGGATACCAAGCCCCCATGCCCCTGCAGACGAGCGGCTGCCACGGGGGCCGGGGCAGTGCCTTACCTCGGCATGGTAGCGCCGGCCGTCCACAGTGTGCTCAGAGCCGGGTCCGGCAGGGGAACCCCAATGCAGGTGCAGCTGCACAGCCTGGTACTGCTGGCCGTTGCTGCCAGACATGGTCAGGGTTGCGGGCAGTTGCAGCACGACTGCAGGGAGTGAAGGGCCAGGTCAGTGGGACATGGCACCAGGAGAGGACACGCTTTGTGGGGCTGTGGTCTTGGGAGGGTAGGGGGTGAGCCTGGAGGCTGATAGGATGGGAGAGGCAGGAGGCTGCCAGAGCCCGCCACGATATACCAGGACAGCACACGTGTGGGGGCTGTGGACCAGTCAGCGCCCTGCAGCTGCCAGCCGCGGTGCCCTGAGCAGGGGGAAGCATGCCGGGGTGCATGCCCAGCCTGCCCACGGCAATGCTGCTATCATGGGGAGCAGCAAAGCATGCTGGAAAAGCTCCCAGGTAACGGCACAGGGCCGAACGGTGGACAAGGGAGGGCAGGCCAGCCGCATGGGGCCCTTGTGACCAAGCCATGAGCAAGAGCAGCGACAGGCGCAGCCACAGAGCGGCGGAGAGGGAGGCTGGGGCTGGCCTGCCTCCATGCTGCCCCGCCTCTCACCAAGCACCTGTGCCCAGCACCCGATCACCACGCGGCACATACCTGTGTGTCCATTGTTCTTCAGTGTCAGCTGCTCCGAGGGGGGCAGGTTGTAGCCAGACAGGTGGATGGGCTGCAGGTGGGGGCTGAAGAGTGTTGCCTCAGTGATGATGTTGATGGGCGACTGTTTCTGGCCACTACAGTCCGGGAAGCCCTGGCTCCACGCCGGCTTGTCTGGGAAGGGGAGAGGGTGTGCAAGGCATGAGCACAGCAGTGCCAAAGGGAGTGTTAGGGGCCAGGGCACCAATGCGGGGGCGGGGGGTAAGCCTATGTGGGGCAGGGTGTCCATGGGACACCCCGCAGACAGGCTCCAGGTGCCCCCGGCCTGGACTCTGCTGCCCAAGCTGAAGAGGGGACGCGATTTCCAGCTGGGGCTCAGTGGGCCCCACAGACCCCTTGCCCCATCTTCTGCTCACTGTCCCACCTCGGGCTCAGGCTCCAGCTCCTCAAGGTTGCTCAAGGCCTTGGCAGGAGCCGCCTACACTGGCAGCGCCACGTGCAGCTGTCGCAGGGGTCCGAGCGCAGTGCTCTGCCTGGAATGTCTATTTTAGGGGCTGCTGGAAAGGCCAAGCAACATGATTTACAGCCCAGCCTGGCAGGCAGACAGGGGCTGCCGGCACTGCAGCTCAGGCGTTGGGCACATGCTGCCCCCCACAAGAGGCCCCTTGGCTCACGGGGCCCAGCCGGCCACGCGCCCAGATGGGCGAGTGCCAGCACCAGGTCTGTGGCTGGGCAGCACCGGGGCTTAGAGGCAGCATCTCGCAGAGGGGGACCCAGCCCCTGGGTGCAGGGTGAGGCCAAAGCCCCATGCCAGAGCACAGCAGCCCAGGGCCCCCAGGTGCTCCCTCCCTGGGCTCAGCCCAGGGGCAGCTTCCAGTGCTGAGCTGCGGCTGCGCAAGTGCCCCAGTCAGGGCTGAAGCCACAGGGGAGGCAGCAAGCCTTTGTCGGAGCCTGGGGGGCCGGATGCCTCCAGAACCCCTCGGGGACCCCGCGAGGGAGGAGTTGGGGCTGCAGAGCACACAGCAAAGCCCCACGAGGAGAGACTGGGGCACCTGGACCTCTTCAGTCTCTGCAAGAGCAGGGTGAGAGGCGACCTTGTGGCTGCCTATAAGTTCATCACGGGGGCACAGCAGGGAATTGGTGAGGTTTTATTCACCAAGGCGCCCCCGGGGTTACAAGAAATAATGGCCACAAGCTAGCAGAGAGCAGATTTAGACTGGACATCAGGCAGCACTTCTTCACAGTTCGAGTGGCCAAAGTCTGGAACGGGCTCCCAAGGGAGGTGGTGCTCTCCCCTACCCTGGGGGTCTTCAAGGGGAGGTTGGATAGGCATCTTGCCGGGGTCATCCGAAACC